GAATCTGCTTGCGACTCGAGAGACATCGCACTGTCCCCTCTGGTTCTCTCTGACTCATTCAGCTCCACTTGGGCTGGATGCCATGGTACAGACATGGCCGAGGCTTCGTCTGTATGCATTTCCCCCGATCGCTCTGCTCCCGGGAGTTGTGACTGGCGGCGTGGGCATTCTCGTTCCCGAAGCGTCCTCCGACGCAGCTCGAGTTCCTGAAGAGGAACAGGTTATGTATGTAACTATGGTTCCTCGAGGGAACGAGACGCTGCGTCTCGGGGCCATACTTTCGGCATCTTTGCCAGCGCTTGCTTCATTCCTGGAAGCTGACGCTGATCTCACCGCACATGCTTTTATAGCTTCCTGGTCATTACGTCACCCGCCCGTGACGTCTCGCCCATCTATTGGTCTGATTACACACGAGGTTCAGAGCCGGTCACACTGAAGGGCATTCCCGAAGCGTCCTCCGACGCAGCGTCTCATTCCCTCGAGGAACCATGGTTACATACGTAACCTGAGACGTTTTTTTGGATATTGCATTGATTACAAAATTACAACATGGTATACATAAAAAGGAATAATAACTTCAAAGAAAAATTGATACAGAAGCATGTTTGTATTTTAAATCACAAACAAAGCACGGCAATAATTTGGAAAATTATGTGTTTGAAAACAACATACTGTTAGAGATTTTTTATTTTTTTTACTGGACTTCTGATTCTGACTAACCTTAAAGTAAGATATTGCCCTTGTGACATCTTCCCTTTGTCGCACCTTGCCTCACTCTCCTCTATAGCTTGTCAGTATGTCAAGATCCGTGTGGCCTGTGTCGTGTAAAATGTGTAGCGTTCCAACCCTATGTGTATGTGAATATTCAAATCGAATTTGAGGTTTGGTCTGTTGAAATATTTGAACTTTTGCAGCTAGACCGTATGTAACCACCCGACCAGATATAACCACCCAATCTTCTAATCTAAACTATGAGCGTAAATTAAGAATTACCAGGTTTTTCTTTTTTTGCCATAGAACATTATTCTTTAAACCCTATTTCTGGGTGGTAGCAAATAATTGTGTCAGAAATATTATTTTATAATTATTACATCGTTATTTATGTTGATTAGCCATAGAAAACCTACTATGTTTCTCTTTCAAACATATTGGTGGTTTGTGTGGATATATCCTTACATTCATTATTCATTCATTTTACTATGGTGAATTAAGCAGAGGTTAAAGCCAGGAGGACAATTAGCCTACATTTTATTTGATAGGGAGTAGAAAGCGACTTGGATAATGGACAAGCCCTAAAAAGAAGAACCAGTGGTGTAAGATACTGTGAGAGGAAACCCTCTGGTCATTATGAACTGTCACTGTATGGTAAGAGCTGCATACAGATTCTTCAAATATTTCTTTGAATAGGATACAAGTTTGGAACAACAAGCAAAAATAATCACAGAATTTTCACTTCTGTGTGATCTCTTTAAGTTAGTGCCAGTTGCTCAAGTTAAATCAAATCACAGTCTGAGTCAGACCTGCAACAGTCCATAAATCATGCAATAATGTACTGCAAGGAAGTGTGAGAGTAATTACGTCTTACTGTATGAACGTATTTGTATGTGATGTCTCCCCCTGATTTTGCAGTCAGATTGTCTCTATGTAAGAGTGTGAGTTTAATAACTCTACATGATATGTAAATGTTAAATTTTTGATCTATAAAATATTAATTTCCTTTACATACTTCACAGGAACCACAGAAAGGCAAACACTGTTCTTGGCACTCAGTTGTTATTTTTTGACATTTTTCAAATGTATATATATATATATATATATATACATATTTGTTGCTTAGAAATAATAATAATAATAATAATAATAATAAAACAAATCTGTTTTAAGATTTTCTCGTCAGGTCCAGAACTGGTTTTTCTTTCTTTTCTTCATAACTGCCCCAACTGTTCAATAAGCAATGCCTTCTTTTACAAAGTAACATGTTCACAAAACAATCCATGCTGAAATGTGCTGCACAAACAGTTATAGTTGGGCTGGGACCAAAGCTGCTTAAGAAAAGTTATTTTTATGTCCTCCTTTTTATATCATCATGACTAAGCAGACCAAGTGTTTGAACACTGAATAGGCATGAATAATGTTTACGATTTCTAAAGTGTAGCACCAAATTTCATGCCTTTTAAGCACTTTGTTTTATTAGATGGTCTTTTTGCACTGAGGAGGGAGTTTAAGTTCTGCAAGTTGCATAATGTTTTCAAATTAACTGTAGTGATTATAATGAAAGTATGAACTCACCCTAATTTCACTAACTAATTTCACAGGAACATGTTTCTAATAATATTGCTGCAAGTCCTCTTGGGAAGTTCCCACTTAAGTTTGAAAATGAAAATGCAATTACATCATGACGTGCATGAAGTAATGTTATCTTTATTGCTTCATCATGAAGTATTATCTCTATTATTTAATAAAAGTGCACAAAATGCGTACAGACTAAATTGTACCATTAGCAATCAAACTTATTATGATAATAACCAATTTGCTTTTGTCATCATTACTGAATGAGTTTCATGCTGCTGGTTTCAACTACATGGTAGAGTTCATGTTTGCTCAACTTGTAAATACAATCATTCAGTGAAGATTGACAGTTTTTTTTTTTAGCAAACAATCCCTTTGAAACCTATCATTATTATAAAATAAAAGTGCTGGGTGTTGAAAATGTTGCTTTGCAAGCTCCCTTTAGACATAACCAAGATCATCAGTTTGACAATATGGTGCTTTGTTAGAAGCCTCTTTGAAGTCTGTTTAGTCTGGACAGCGAGGCAGCAAGTCAGTTGTTTTGGGATTCAGACACATTCTATATGTCAGTGGTTCTCAAACCTCTCCATGAAGTAATGCTGAAGTCCAGCACTGCACATTTTGTATGTCTCCCTATATCTGACACACCCACTTCAGGTCTTGCAGTCTCCACTAATGAGCTGATGAGTTGAATCAGGTGTGATAGATGAGGTAGACATACAAAATGTGCAGGGCTGGGGGTACTCCAGGACAGGTTTGAGAACCACTGCTATATGTGATAGTCCTGCAGAGCCACCTGATGGTCATATCTTGTAATCAACACTACATGGTATTCAGTGCTTACCTTGTCACGACTTGAAAGTGTGAATTTTCTGGGTGGTGGAACATTGAACACTGTGGGAACAATTGATTTTCACACCATTCTTATTTAACAGATGAGTCTCCGTATATTGGTTTCTATTCAGAGTCTGAATTTCAATTTAATGAAACAAAGGACATAAGATACTATCTTTTAAGCTGCATGTATAAATAGCACAGTTGAGTTAATCATCTGTATGGCACAAGTAGGTCAGTGGTGAGAAATGTTTAGAGACTTTGGGAGAAATATTGCATTTGGGTTCATTCAAAACATGTTATGTGTCCAAGCTCATGTATGGTACTAAAATCATTTTGCAACTATGGATATTTATCATCTTTCATTGTGCATTTTCTTCATTTTTCTTTTTAGGATGAAAAGAATCAACTAATGACTACAAATGTCTGGTTGTGGCAGGTAACTCAAAGAAATTTAGCTTTATTTTTTTTAAGTATGTCCCAAAATACTCTCTTGATTGATGCTTTATTGGTTTCTTTCCTGTAGGAGTGGACAGACTATAAACTGCGGTGGAATCCAGAAGATTATGGTGGAATCACATCCATCAGAGTGCCCTCCGAAACTATTTGGCTACCAGACATTGTCCTTTATGAGAAGTAATTCTTTTTAGAACTTCTTATCCATATCAATGTCATACAGGTGCACATATTAATGAATAATGTGATCGTATTTTGATTTCATCTTTGTGTGCTTGTTCTGAAAGACAGAGATAAAAAACTATGTTTATTTAGTCTCCCAAATATCTGCATTGTGTCATGTATAAAATACAGACAGATTTAGACAGATTAAACGTTTTTAGAAATGCCTCAAGCGCCTGGCCACTGATCAGAAACAGCTGAAAATCACTTCCTTTGATTTAATACGTTGTCTGTCAATTCGTTAATCATATTTTTATGATGCAAAAGATGTGAGCAAGTGAATATAAAGAGCTCTGCAGCAGCTGTGGTGTCTCAGTATCCACCAGACGAGAGAAAAATAATAACCTAGTTACAAGATGTACTTTATTAAATAACTCATGACCACTCGGTATTAACAATAACTGCTGCTCAATCTGCATACATGTGCTGCTCTTCTTTCACTCTCTTCTGAACTCTTCCCTCATACATCTGTGTTCACTTTATTAAAGCTCCAGATAAAGGTTGCCAGCAACCTTGTCTAATAAAACAGCTACCACAGTTATTGTGCTTTGGGTAGGAGGTAGTATTCTCAAAACAAACCCCTCAAAATCACAATATAATAAGCAGACATGACTAAACTGTAGCAAGAGAGCAAATATAAAAGAAACAAACTTTACCAATATCCGAAAGAATTAAAAAACAGGACATTTAATTTATGAATAAATTGTAATATTAAATTAAAATTGAATAATGCTTCATGTTTAATTACACCTATGTGTTGTAATTAATATCTTTTTTTAAATGATGAAATAACTATGTGGTTAGGGGGAGAGGACTGTTTGAAGCATCTCAGATATGCTTATATCTTCAGGAGGGGAGGGGCTTCAAGGACAAAAGATTGGGAACCACTGTGTCAGACAATATTTGAATTAAAGTATGAAAATGTATATAGATAATCTAGAATTTGTTTTACAGTAATGATCTATAACATGTTCAAAAGAGCCTGAGAAGTGTAAGCTGAGCAGAAATGGAATTATAAATTGACAAAAAGAAACTCTAAAAAAGAGTTTATTTTTTTAACTGCAAAACCCACACATAGGATCATGTTTGCAATCTCTAATCTACTTGTAGGGTTATCTAATGGCGCTTTTCCACTGCGTGGTACGACTCGGCTCGGCACAGCTCAGTACGGCACGGCACGGCACGGCTCGGCTTGCATTTCCACTGCAGTTTAGTATCGCTTTAGAGTGGGCGGGATTATTCACATGTCGTTAGTTGCGCCGCCTCTACTGCCGCGACTCCTGAAAAACTTTTTCATTCCGCGTCGCCCCATCAAGCGCTTTCCCCAAAAGTGAACCATACCGAGCCGTACCATGCAGTGGAAAAGCGACAAAACCCATCTGAGACACCCAGCAACAGCTAGAGTGGCAATGTAACAATCACTCACACCACCTTAGCAATGTCCTGTCAAGCACCCAGAACCTTGTGACATTTGCATGGGCAATCACTACTTACATTTTCTTCAAAAAATTAAAAATGTAGTTGTTAATATCATGTCTCCCTCTCTCCATCTCTAATAGCGCTGATGGCCGATTTGAGGGTTCTCTAATGACCAAAGCCATTGTAAGGTTTAATGGTACCATCATGTGGACTCCTCCTGCCAGCTATAAATCCTCCTGTACCATGGATGTCACCTTTTTCCCATTCGACAGACAGAACTGCCCGATGAAGTTTGGGTCGTGGACATATGATGGCACGATGGTGGACCTGACCCTGGTGGACGCATACGTAGACCGTAAAGACTTCTTTGACAATGGCGAATGGGAAATACTCAACGCTACTGGCCAGAGAGGCAGTCGGCGTGACGGCATTTACTCCTATCCTTACGTCACATATTCATTCATTCTTAAACGTCTTCCTCTCTTTTACACACTCTTTCTCATCATCCCATGTCTCGGTCTGTCGTTTCTCACCGTGCTGGTCTTCTACCTCCCCTCGGATGAAGGAGAAAAGCTTTCCCTCTCCACCTCCGTCCTTGTGTCTCTCACTGTGTTTCTTCTCGTCATTGAAGATATCATTCCTTCTTCCTCTAAAGTCATTCCTCTGATAGGAGAGTATCTGCTTTTTATCATGATCTTCGTCACGTTCTCGATCATTGTAACTGTCTTTGTCATTAACGTTCATCATCGTTCTTCTGCCACATACCATCCCATGGCACCGTGGGTTAAGAGTCTTTTCCTCCAGAGATTACCTAGACTGCTCTGCATGAGGGGACACACTGATCGTTATCAGTACCCAGACATCGAGCTGCGGAGCCCAGAGCCAAAAAGAGAGATGAAAAGAGGGCAACAGAAGAGTGCCGGAGGAGGACGAGGGGGGTTAAAGGAAGATGAGAACCAGGCCTGGATTGCCCTGTTGGAGAAAGCCACTTACTCAGTGCACTACATTTCCAGACACATCAAGAAGGAACACTTCATCAGAGAGGTGTTTAGGCTTTTTTCCCGTTTTCTTGAAACTGTAATCTATTAAAGGAATAGTTAACCCAAAAATGAAAATTTGCTGAAAGTTTACTCACCCTCAGGTCATCCAAGTAGTAGATGAGTTTGTTTCTTACATCACTTGCTCACCAATGAATCTTCTTGCAGTGAATGGGTGTCGTCAGAATGAGATTTAAAAAAGCTGATAAAGACATCACAAATCCACATGACTCCAGTCAATCAATGAATGTCTTCAGAAGTTTTCAATGAAATCTGCAAATATTTGAATACCATTTAATAATACGTGTTCTGCATATGTTTTTTTTTTTAGCCTTTGTAGTGTTTGTATTAGTGTAGTGTATTAACTCATTTAGCTAAGTCATGTGACTTATTTCATTCAAAATTTGATACAAAACAAAACAAAAAATAAATAAATCATGAAGCAGTGTTTCAAAAGCGGCCATCACTAAGACACGATAGCCATCTGCAAAGGCAAATGTTGGAGATGTTAGCCTGAAGCCATTTATCAACATGGTTTTAAATTTAACTACATAAATGCATCTGTGTCTGCAAGATTTTCTCTTAACTACAACCCCTATTTAAAAAAAAAAAAGTGTTTTATGGTGTGTGTCTTAAAATTCAGAAAGCTCACTGGCTGTTGCCACATGTTATTGGTTCAAATTGACTGACAAATAAATGAAGAAAAGCATTTGACAAAAGGACAAAGAAAGCCAACAATGTAAATGTTGCATTTAATAATGTTTGATAAATGTATTCTCTTACATGAAAATTTTTAAACATAAATTGAATTGAACCGTTTTAAATTATGATTTTTTATTTTATTTGTCAGATTGAAAAGTGGTCAAAGACACAACTGCGCAATTAAAAAATAGCACAAATTAAGGCAAAAGTAGATCCTGTGTGAAAGCCCCCTAATGCTAATTGGGACAATTCAGTCTATGAAAACTGCTTTGTTATTAAAGTGAAAAAGCAATTCGTTGACAGTATGTACTTAATTCCGTTTGGGTCTGTTTGTCACACAGGTCGTTCAGGACTGGAAGTTTGTGGCTCAGGTGTTGGACCGGATCTTCCTCTGGGTCTTTCTCACAGTTTCTGTGCTTGGGACCGTCCTCATCTTCACCCCAGCTCTGCAGATGTACCTCAGAACATCTTAGAGATTTCAGCCTACGAATGACATTCTTATGACCTCTTTGACATATGTGTAGTTCCCACAACATTACAGTAATCCCTCTAAAAGTCCTTTTCTGGCCTAGCCACATCTGTAATCCTCTCCAAATTCAGCTTCTGTCCCTTCTTCCTAGATGCTGTGTTCAATAGTTAGACTGAAAATAGCAAAACTCAGCTAAAATGAAGTTCAGGAATTTTCTGCCCTTTTAACACAAAACTAAAAGGCAGCTTATACAGTTGAGGGAGTTTGGATCTGGGTAATCTCTCTAAGGGGATCATGGTTTTAAAGATCTTCAATAAGTTGGCATTACTGTGTAAAAGGTATAACCACCTTTTTTATGCCTCTTTTATTTATTTATTTATTTCATGTTAAAAATGTGTCATTGTCCATGTAAGTAATATTTAATTAGGTAGCAAACCTATTCACTTTATTAAAAAATGCAATCTGTTTGCAGTAAATGTAAAAAATTGTATCACTATCCAGATTGATATAATTGTTCATTAATTTTATTAATAATCTGGATGATGATCAGTTATAATAGTATCTCTCTTATTGGCACAGGTGACATTTACTGTACAGTCTATCATCTGTTTTCCTATTTTTTAGTACTGTTAAATGAAGTAGTATCAAGCCTTGGTTGATATTATGCATATGTAAATTTTATGCAGACATTACCGCGGGAAGTAGGGGTGCTGCAGCACCCCCTGGCTCGGAGCTAAAGAAAAAATGGGGGTGCTGGGGTACGGTGTTAAAAATAAATAAATTAAAAATTTGTAACAAAAAATAAATAAAACTAATTTGATTAATTAGAATAATTATTAAAATCATTGGGGAAAAAAGCTTAACGACAATAAGCAACAAGACCGAGCCTTGAGCTGGCGATAAGGAACCGTGACTCCTGCGGCTCCGAGCTGCTTGGAACAGACGCGCGGCGCCTCAGAACTGTAGCGTCCCATGTCCAGCTGAACTAAATTGATTTTATTTTTTTATTTCTTGTAACACCGACTACAGGACAAAGCCTGTGTATTGCACACATATAACTTCGCTCCTGGGAAAACTCGACACCCCGCCCCCCCAGCGCATGTGTATGTATCTACAATTTTCCACAATCTGGAATTTATAAATAGAACTCTGCCAGATTTTGCCTCATATATTGTTTTATAAATCTGCCATTTATGCTTATGTATATTTTTAGGATAAAATTTACACCAAGTGTCAAGCATCCTTATCCCTAAACCCTTGGAGATACTGTTGCTGATTCAATGGGTGGTGAGATTAAATGATCCCAACTTGTCTTTGGCATCATTAGCAAGGACCCGACTACAGGACAAAGCCTGTGTATTGCACACATATAACTTCGCTCCTGGGAAAACTCGACCCCTCAAAACTCAACTTTATTTCTGTCCATAGATACACTTTTATCCAAGGTCAGTAAATGGAGATGTCAATTGAACAAAATAAATCACATGAATTTATGTAAATAATCTTTTTACTGATCTGTGCAAGTGTATTTACTGCTGTGACACATCAGAAACATTTCTCTGTGGTTCGGAATAGCCTGGCATTTTCCACAGGAAACATTGAATCAGTGTTATTTGGGTCCTTAAAATAATGTTTTCGAGAGAACCCTAAACCTAGACCTTTTTTGGGGGTTGAATTTACTGTAAAAATGCAAACGTAGTAGAGGGAATTCAGGTAAAATGGACACCTTTGATACTTTGACCATATTGCTGTATATATTCACAATATTTTTTAGTTGCACTTTATTTTACAGTGCCTTTGATACAGTGTAATTATGTAATTGCTTAGTAATATTAATCAACAACATGTACTTACTATAGGGTTATGGTTAGGATTAGGGTTTGGTTTATATTTATAGGGTTAGTTGCTTGTACTTATGCAGAATTTATTGTTATTATTAGTATAGTAAGCACATGTAATGTGTAACAAGGACACTGTACAATAAAGTGTTACCATATTTTATTTTATTTTCACTAACAAAAAGAGGCCAATTCAGTTTACATTTACAAGAAAAGTGTTAAACAAAAGTAGAATGTATTGGCAACATGTTACGGTAGTTCCTCTCGAAACCATCTCTCTTTTACCATTGATGATACATACTGATGTCACATATTAAAGTCAACCCGAAATCTTATTGTACATGATTCATCAGTGCATGCTCTTCCCCTCCAATGACTTTTATTGATTTTCAAAATATGAAAGTAAAATGTGTACATATCATTTCATGTTGGCTTTTGTATTCATGAATGAGTATGTATTTAACATCTACATTCCTGAATGCTGCTTTTGTATCGCATCAAAGAGAAATGATTCAAATGTGCAATGATGCAGTGTGTTGTTGACACTAGTGTAGTTTGCCTTCTTGATAGGCTTTAATCTCAATGCACCTCATCTGGGAGTGATATCGTCTGGCCTCTCAGAGAAGCACAGAGCGTGAAATATTTCCATTTCCAGAGTGTGTGTATTCTTCAGATATATTTTCAAGCCACATCTGGGCTCTGTAATCACTGGCTTAGCAACCCATAGTGTGAAAACGGTAAATTGAATTTCACACTGTTGTGCCATATCTTTCTTTGCAAGCCATGAGCACTAGGTGTATTCTCTCGAGGTCCCCCACATGCTCCTACAAGTCACAGAGCTGTATATCTTAAAATTCATTGTTGATTATTTATCAGTATCAATCTAATGCATGTCAAAAATACTTTCATTTATGTTGCAGTCAACATACAGCCAGCGCAATATAGTTCTGTACTGTACGAAAAAAAATATTTACTTCTAAAACATTTCACTAAAATTGCTAGTCAATTTCACAAATAATTACAAAGAATCTTCAAGTAACACAATGAAGACATGAAATTGAAGTAAAAAGACTGATTTTTATGTTGTATTTATATGTAAAACTTCACACATGACACTAAAATGCAATAATAATTTAACAAAATAAGATAACATAAAACCCTGTACATAGTTGATAAAAAAATAAATAAGAAAAATAGTTATTTTACTGAAAAAAACATCAAATGTGAAGTGTCACACATAGAAATCTGGGAGTGGCAATTTACAGTTTTTTACTGTTAAAAGGATGACTTGTTATTTTTCACTTCCAAAAACCGTAAATGTAACAGTAGGCCTATTTTACAGTAATATATCCCATTAGGCCTATTACAGCTTTTCGCCGTATAGTAACGAAACCATACTGCTATCGAATCAACAGGTTTTTACCATATGATTTTTACAGTATTTTACCGTTAAAATAATGTCTTTTTTTTTTTTTTTACAGTGTATGCAACTGAAAAGAAGATAAATTTCATGATGGGATGAGAGATTTGAAGAGGCCTGTGTAACAGATTTTATATGCAAGGTGTGGGGCTTTCTGATTCAAATCACAGTAGATTAGGTTAATTTTTTTAAAGGACTTATTTTACATAATAAATGCAGGTCTTATGGATGTATTGTTATAATAATGCATAATGCAGACTTAGAGGATGTCACAACAGGCTTCACCTGTCAAGTTAATTAAATACAAAATGGACACAACTGTGTAACAGACCTGTATTTTAATTGAAAGGAACTTAAAACAGGCAATCTCAGCTCTTGAATAGTCTGACTTCATCTCCTCCTGTATAATTCAGTAGAGGAGATATTATGTGGTGTGACATCACTGGTGCTTGCAGCAGTCTCAATTCAGAAACCTCACAACATCCTAACAAGTTTACTTAACCTACTTTACAATACCCACACTCACAACTGTATTTCCTATTTTACAGGGGTCTGCAGTTGTTTTGTTGTTTCATTAGCCAACTGTTCTCCATAACTATGAGCTCACAACACTTCTGAATTAATCCATACTTCACTGTATGAAAGAAAAATAGTATTTAAGGTATTTAAATTTGAGATATATATATTATTGAATGGAAGGTTTGATTTACACACACACACACACACACACAATTATAGTTTAAAATGGTGTAAAAGTGAGTCTGCTGAAAGGTAAAATTATTCTAGGACTTTTATTGGCCACATTTGAATTGAAGGTATGCCATTAGCACCACTGTAAATTCAAACTGAATGAACTTTAATGAATATATGTCTGAAATGTACATTAATGTAATTACTGAATAATATCCCCAAGAAATACAATAAGTATTGCATTTTACACAATATAACACAAGTAACATCATTTTTCTGTCCCTTTTTTTTACTCCACAAATTTAAAAATATTAACGTGTCCACAGATCACTTATTACAAAAAAAAAACAAAAAACTTTGATATTTAATCTAATACAATTTCACAGACCACTATTTTTCAAAATTATATGAATTAACCTCAAAACTGTTTCAACTGAATAACTCTTGACATTCAGGTAAAATTACAAAATGAAGAAGAGTCTAGCCACTAAGATGAGATTTTGTGCCATTAAAATAATAAATAAATAAATAAAATAAATAAAATAAAATAAAATAAAATAAAATAAAATAAAATAAAATAAAATAATAAAATAAAATAAAATAAAATAAAAACATTCATTGCCAACAGATGGCAGCATATCCCACTCTAATGACACTGGTTGCATTAACGTTAATCTTTATGACTAACATCCATTGTGAGGGAGCTTTGATATGCATAATAAATATAGTGTAGGGTTAAAAATAAAAACGGCATGATTCACTGAGATATAACACTACACTGCAACTTTCTCAGAGGGTGTTAACTAAACTTTTGCCCCAAATGCTGTCCTTGATCTGTTCGGGTATGAATGACTACATCTAACTGATATTTCCAAATATGTACCGTTCTAGCATGGAGCCAGGCCTAATGCCTTCAAGACTGTCTTTATGGGTCTCAGAACTGCATTTATCAGGAAAAAAGCAACAAACAATTTAATTATATTTCTCTGTATATTCTGATACTTTATTCAAGTGTATTTGAGTGATTAACTAGCTTGTTAAAACTTTACGTCACATAGAAACCAGTGTGTCATTTACTCTTCGTTACTGTGGTAAAAAGGAACCAGTGTGACCTGCTAAAAGAAGCATACTCAATAAATCTGAAGATCTATTCTTTCTTTCTTCATCTCTTCTCTTTGAGTTGATTGAGGGTCAGAAAAGTTCAATTCTGTTCCTCTCTTTTTCTACAGCTTTTTTTCTTCGCCTTCTGCCCTCCAATCTTTGAAGCTTCAACTCCAATCTTCTGAACACTCATATTCTTTCTCATATTATGAAAGGTGAGAGAGTGAGAGGGTAACAGAGAGAGAGAGAAAGATATGGACACCTTGATAGTGTG